GTGGTTTTGAAAATTCTCAATCAAAAGTGATTCTTTAGCAGCTTTAATTATGACTGCTAAACAGAAACAAAATTAACTGTACTGTACTGTATAACTCAAATCTATTGACAGACTATATACAGTATATATTATGGTCAGTGCTCATAATACAATATCATATACTAGATTACCTTCTTCTAGAATGGTGCCCTGTTTATTCGGTTTAGCATCCTTCTTGTGTTGAATTTTGTCTTCCCATCAGAGTTGTCCATTGGAGTGGTATTAGTTAGAATGTACGACACCATTCAAGGAGTTAAACTGAGGCAAAGACACGTGTCCTGCATATTCTTGAAATATACCTAGAATACATGCAGGTTGTGACCCCTTTAGGACTGAGTTGGTCATTAAATACAATAAATCAAGGAACCTTAAAGTAACACGGTAAAAAAAAAACACTCAAATCCACAAAAAAGGAAAAGATAATATCATATTATTCTTGTGAATTCTTACGTAAACCAGAGAATAGCAGTCATTTATATAACAAGTGTTGCACAACTGTAGAATTTCTTTTATACATACCTAAGTAAAGAGAAGAATCTTTTCTTTTGACATGGTCATCCATATAGGAAACACCCAGAGGCTGAACTGATGAGGCCCCGATGCCAACTAAAACTTGAGCTATAACGACCAGCAAGTACAATGTATTTGTTGACCGTGTCTCCTCACAACTCCCTGTTTCAGCATCTTTTTCCACAGCTGATTTGCCAACAGAGCAGGTGTCTCGTGAGGTGGATATTTTCACCTTCTGGTAGTCATACTGATGGCTCACAAACTCAGGCAGCGCACAAAGAAGTGAACCTAGAGCCATAACAATTCCACCACAGCCTATAAGTCTTGGTCTGTGACCCTTTCCACCAAAGTAGCTCACTAAAAGGATCACCAAAAGGTTGCCAATCTCAAACCCACTGGCAATTAAACCAAGCTCCGTGGTCCTCAGACTGAATCTCTTTTCAAGGGTACTTAGCATGCTGATCTGTCAAAAAAATGAAACAAAAACAGAGCTTTCTTAGTTCAGTGAATGTATGTACACGTAAAGGTACTACTACAGTATATCTTTAATATCTTATTTTAAAAATTACTAGAAAATTCTGTTCCACAAGATGCATAGATGCATAATTTTCTTCTACCCTATGCTTTGAAACATAAATAAGGGACTTCATTTCACAGATGTAACCATGAGGTTTCATGTTGTTTTTATCAAAGTACAGTACATTACAATAAATTACAGAGATAAAAAAGATTGTTTTCCTGGAATGTAATCTAGCACGTGGCTACTATTAAATCACATCAGAGGGTTTTTGTTGAGCAGCATGTGTAGTTTTAGAAAGCCTTATCTGCCATTTGTTAAAGCATCACAGTACAGTATGATTAAAGAGTGTTGTACAGGAAGCGATTAATCACTTTGAAGAAGAAGCACCCTTGTATGCTAGCAGTGAAATACAATCTGGTGTATTGAATAACAATAGCAAAAGTGCTGTACTGTACATGCTTAGTATTCTAAACTGAACTACAGGAGTCCTGAAGAAGATTGTGGTTTATGATTTCTTGTTGATAAAAACATTGATGGCAAGGAAATTATTTGTGCTAACACAAGTTGCAATTTATCCTCATGTTCCCTTCTATTTTTTTCCCTAGTCCTTTTCATTTAGTAAAGATTATAGAAGGATACAATATAAATACAATATATACAGTACTGTAGCAATAATGCACAAAACGCGCGTCAATCATCTTGCTTAAATTGTGGGTATTGTGTTCGAAACACCAACACGACCGCTGCCCCTGGTGTACTTTCAATACACTTGCTGTTTTGAACGAATTTAGCAGGACTGGCAGATGATATTACTGATAACTCTTAGATTACGTGTATAATTTTAGATTTTCTTTCAAAAAGAAAAAAAAAATCTATCAAAAACCGCTTTTGTTAAAATTCTAACACTTACCAGATACGCATTGCCAATGCTGTTAGCACTAAGTATTAAACAAAGAGTTGCAACAAATGCTCTTATATCCCCAAAGCAGGGTCTGCTTGGTTTCGTTCCCACAGCCGTCTGAGTATCTTGTGGATTGCTTGCCATTCCGACTGAGACGCCGCAACTTTATGAACGCTTTTAGTCGGTGTCCTGCATTTCACAACATGCCACCCTTACTTCAGCATGGGTACAAACCGGGTTTCGTTTTTCATGTAACCTAAAATATGAAGAACACACGTCAGGAAAACTGCTGGAGATTCTTCCAAAAAGTAAGATAAGGTAGACACTGGAAAGAAATAATAGGATAGCCTCCTCTAACTAAAACATAAAAAAATGTATGATTCAAAATGAAAATACAAGGAATTAAACGTGATAAGAATGATTGATAATATCGAATACAATCAAAGTTTATCTTGCTTCCTTACCAGGTTACCAGGTAATTACATTATCACGTTACTGTTTATAACTACCGTGCCCATAAAGATACAGCATGTCTAGTAACATTGTTTAGAATTAGTGATCAGATAACCGCATTTATTAGCTAAGCACAATAAACTGACCTCAAAGACACGCAATCATGATATATGAAATATTATGCATTACAACAAAGAAACATGAAAGACGGGGCACCAACCTGTCTGAACAAAGGAACTTCGCAAATATCAGGTACTTAAAAGTATGTAAAAAATGTCTTCTCTCAACTTGCAGGTGTTTTCATATTTGCACATTTTAACGCCTTTCCAGCAGCTCTTGACTTAGTTTTACCGTATATATGTAAGTTTTAATTTAAAAAAAAATATGAGGCGGTCCTCTTAAGGATTTCTATAGTGTGCCATGAAGTAAAACAAATTGGCACCCGCTGCTCCTGAAATTGAAGCCCGTATGAAGCGGCTGTCCGCTTAGGGTGCCTCACACGCTGCCGACGGAGTAGTAGTGAGGTGTTCCGAAGGGGGTAAACTGTCTAGTTTCCATGTTTACATATATGCTAACGCCATCTTGTGGCCACAGTAAATGTCATCGTGCATAATTCCAAATAATACTCTGAAAAAAATCCTTCCGCGATATAGTAATAGCAATACAGTAATATAGTAATAATATAGTAAATACATATAAAATGTGCAATCAGTTAAAATGAACATGTGTAAAATTAGCTGCAACCTATTACACTATAGCGTTGCTCATAGGGAAGACACCTGTGTAGTCAGGAAAATTACACCCTGTAACAGTATCCAATGTAACTAATTATCTCATAGTTTATCATCCTTAGACGTGTTAATAATTTACGAAGAAGCAATGTGATACTGTTTCTAGAAAATGTACAGACATGTTGCCTAAAATAGTTAAATACAAATAATATATATAAGACTAATAATAATAAATGTCTCTACAATACGTATCCACAGCACTGAGCTGAAGAATCAAACTCTCGTATTTTTAACTGCCCCTCCTGTGGTAATTTTAAGGAAAACCAAACATGGCAGTGGGTGACAGGCACACAATTTACCGTCTGGAAAATGAGATAATTTTTTTTTTTCCAGTATTTGAGGAAGCTGTTGGATTTGCGGCTCTGCGAGCACAGCCAAGAACGCTGCGACCCTTGGCAGCACCAGCTGCTGCGAGGTGCCTCCGAGCCTGCGTGAGAAGATCATCCTCGGCTTATGAAGACGGAGCTCAATCTCCAGGTTTACAGCAACCTGAGCATTACATTATAAAAAAAAAAAACTGGGTCAGCAAAGTTAGTTGTAGCCTGACCTACTTTTGAGCGAATTGTCCCTTTCGCGGGGTTTTGTGGTAACTGACCTATAGTCTAAATCCCCGAGAGGTGAAGCACCTACTGACCTTTGACGAACTACCCACAGCCCAAATGAAATGCCTCAGATGCTTTGAAAAGAGGAACCTGTGTGACCGTTAAAAAAATCAACCTACTACGGCTTTTGATACTGAAACAAGGAAGGGGCGTTAAATGGCAGCACAAAAGGGGGTGTGTTCTTTAAAATTGTAAACTTTGATGCAGAAATGATGCATTTGAGCTGATATCAGAGATGCAAACTTTGAGATCTTAAATCAAAATGGTATTGATAATGTACATGCAAGACCTGCACGTATAGCTGAAGTACATGCAGAGGTAGCTAAAATTTTAAAATGTGCTACCATAAACAGCACCATTTGCATAATGTGGGTTGTATTTTTATACTGAACTGCAGTATGTACAGTAAAAGCTGTTAAAACTATATCTAGAAAAAAACATGTTTCATTTTGTAAGATTGATAAACCTACATCTAGTGCTTTTTGAAGACAGTCTATTAATTTACTGTCCGTGCTTATGATTTTCTGCATAATCCTTTGTCTTTTTACTGTCCTAGAGTGGGACATACGGTATAGTATTCTATTGCTGTTCAATATGAAGATGTGCAGCTATTCCCTGTACACCTTTTTTCTAGCAATTATATTCAGATAAATGGTGTTAAAAAAATTGTAGAAACAGGCCAAATTTCTAATTTCATCCACATCCACTCTCCTACACATGAATATCTTGGAACTAAGCACCACCTTTGTGCATGTTTCTCACCCCCCTCCACCCTATCTTCACCTCTGCAGCAGCTCCCTGGCTGATTCATCATGTGAGAGGAAGGGGTCCCTTTGGACTCATTCTCATGGGAAGGCTGCCATTTGCTCAGGTAAATGAGGCCAGATAACATGTTTTAAAAATATTTCATCTCATCTCATCTTAATTAGTATTTGGCCAAACCACTGATTTTACCAGCAAGTTTCGACTTGTAATGTTTTTGATTGTGTGCTCTGTTTTAACTTGTGTTGTTTATGATTGTACATAGAATGAAAGTGTTGTACCCATACTTTGTTGTAAAGTATTACAGTACCTCACCTATCATAGTATTACATCCGAAAACAAATCTAGCATCTAGAGTTCTGGCTAGCTGTACCTTTATGAAACAATCTAATAGCAGTAGCAATGTGGGCAAGAGATTTTAGGGCTGGTTCTCATTCAAAGATCCCGCTGTGACACAGTAAAATCTGTCTTATCATTTTCCAGGAGGTTTGCTGCCCAGGGTGTATCCAGACATCATGCTTTTGACACACAACTGTCCAACTTCCTTTAGTTCTATGGGGACTTATTCACTGCTGTGCTGAAAGAATGAGAAACCGTTTGTGGCTTGTTTAATCATATTCTTTCATACAGCAATATGTTCCGGAGCTGTGTGCCAATGTCATCATCCTCTTGGCACAATAGGGTTTTTGCTATTTCTTTGTCAGTGGAGCATAGACTACATGTGTTCACTGTGATCTGTAATTTGAGTTGTGTGACTGCAATCACACTGTCTTTTCTCTGTACTTTTATGGAGGAAGTGTGCACATGATCTTCTTGATGTCCTAATACTGCAGGTGGTATTGTAGCGTATTTCAGGAATGTCAGAGTCAAGAGGTGCATTATTTGGATCTTGCAAAGGTGTTTATTTATTGCATATGTGTATGTGCCATAAATGTGTATCACAACAGATTTTGCTTGAAGCACAAAATAAATGTAATACAACAGTAGCAAAATCAGTATCAATAATAGTTGGGCGCATAACATAGGATAAATATAAGGAAAATAAATCTGTTCATAAAATGATTTAATGAGGACTCCTGACATCACCCAGCAAGAAGATACGTCTAGTAATATTTATTGAGGAATTAAGCAAACAAAATTATGGCTTAATCCAATTGGCTGAGGGTCAACTACCTCTACATTAACACACCCATACAGAGAGACATGTTACCAAGAGATACAGTAGCTGAAAAGCTGGAGATGGGGTGGAGGAGTGATGCAGAAAGATGAATGCGAGCAAGAGAGAGCAGCTTTCTACGGTATTTGCAGTTTTTTTGAGACGTGGCATCATGAAGAATTACAAGTTAGAGTAATAGAGACCTCGGTTGTTGTCATCCTTCCCACTGAATTGCAGGCAGTGGTAACAAAAAGGATATTAGCAATGTCAAGAGAGAGATGTAAAGGACTATTGCAATGAAGGTTACAATAAACAATAAAATATATTTTTCAGCACTATAGCAGCAAAAGAATTGTAAAGGAAGAGGTCAAATGTATATGGGACAAGAATAGGAAATGGTTGATGTACTAAATGTATATTTTACTCTGGTGTTCACTAAGAAAGAAGTCAACAAAATACCTCAGGCTGTGGGCAGACAGTGTTCTTTATTAAAAAAATATTAACATACTGTAGAAGTGAAAGTGTTTCAGGTACCAGAAGCACTCAACATAAATTAAATTCCAGGGCTCGATGGTTTCCTAACAATTGTACTTAAAGAAACAAGAAGTATTATCTGTAAGCCAGCGATAAAACGTTTTTTAATAGTAGCTCAAGACAAAGTAGTACCCTTTGACTGGAGAATTGTTAATGTAGTACCCATCCATAAGGGGTGACAGAAATGAAACAAGTGATTGTTAACCAATAACCCTGACTTCATTTACATGTAAGATAACATTAACAGTTACAACTAAGCATTAATTAAAAGGACACTAGATCTTAGAGTAGGGCCAACATTAATCTCTTTTAAGTAACTCGTTAGAATTATTTGAACAAACACACACAGATGCAGACACACACATACAATATGTTGTATTTATTCTACAGTAGGTATTTGGGAAATATATGTGTTTGGATTGAGAACTGGTTGAAAGAAAAAAGCATTAAGGTAAAGGGTGCTTGCTCAGAGTGGAGTGATGTGATCAGTGGAGTACCACAGGAATCTGTACTACGACAGCTGTGGCTGGATGTCAGGTCTTGGGGCTTTCTGGGTCTTAGAATTACAATGACTTTGGCTTGCTTCTATATTTTTAAGATTTTGTGTGTTTTATATGATGAAAAAGCTTTATGTACATATTTGCTCTTTACAGCATGCATAGTAGTTTCATTTTGAAAACCTGAGACACAGGCCATCATACTGTACCTTATAAACTTGTTGAATTTTGTGGCATTGAGCCTGTGTGTACTGTATGTTAGCAAAGGTGTACAGTCTTGCTAGATGTTGCTTGCAGTAGTCTTTTTTGTCCACTTTTTAGACAATGGTACTGTAATGTGGTTCCAGATTGCTTGATTAATTAATGATGTTGTCCTTTGGTGTCTATGAGCAACAAAACAGGGGGGAAATATTAGTATAATTATAAACCACAGTATTTTCTGTTATTTTTGTTGCTACTTGCTTGGTTTCAGGGTACCTTGATTCCAGGGCAGATCCCAGGCTTTACAAATAGAGTGAGCGAAATTTCAAATCTGCAGTGACATTCTCCCAGCATTTTCTTCGTGCAGAGTTCATAGACTCCAGCAGAGTAAATCCCTGATTTTGGTCACCAGTGTGGATGAATTTCTTTCAGGTGCTTCTCTGTTTTTAATAGAGATAGATTGTAACTAGTCTGGGATAGTTGGGAACTCTCAAGAACATTACGTTTTTTGACTCGGGAGGAAGGACAGGGGTTTGTGTACATGTTATGTGAGTCTACGTGTGTGGCTGTCGCATTTTTCCCCATCCTGGTCTGTGGTCTCAGGTTCCCATCCTGTACTGGCTGGCCTCTGTTAGTCAGGACCTTCACCCTCCCTAGGTCCTTTCTACTACCTGGTGAGAACAGCTTTGCAGAGTAAAGCTATGCAGAGCGGTGGCTCTGTGGCTAAGGATCTGCGCCTGTGGCTGGAAGGTTGCCGGTTTGAATCCCGTGGCTGGCTGAGGAATCCTACTCTGTTGGGCCCCTGAGCAAGGCCCTTAACCCCAACTGCTCCAGGGGTGCTGTATAAATGGCTGACCCTGCGCTCTGACCCCAAGCTTCTCTACCCGTTTGTGTGTCTCATGGAGAGCAAGTTGGGGTACAGTATGTGAAAAACGACAAATTCCTAATACAACAAAATATATACAGTATGGCCAATTAAGTGACCTTAAGAGAATGCCGTTCTGATTAATAACAGATTACTCTCATTACCACTTTTCTGTGTTTGTTGCCAGTATTACAATTTGGTTGTATGATTGGTTCTGTTTTAGGTAAGTGCTCAACAATAAGTATTCCTCAACTATGTACTGTATAGGTTGTCTACACTTTGTCCTTAGAAAAAAAACAAGTATAAGCTGCAGTATAAGACTTTTCCTAAAAGATCAAAACAGAAGGGAAAACTAATACAGATACTTATACAGTAAATGATTTGAGAATAACACAAATATATAACATAAAAAAATAATACAAAAATTTACTCTTTTTTTGGCTTACAGTTGACATACTAGACATAGTGTTATCCAAGTATACTGTACATCATTTTTGTTTTCTGGTTCTCTGTCAGTGTAATACCTGAATTTTCCTTTATGTCTCCAATGTCAAGTGTTTCTATCTCCTGTTAAAGACCATAGCTACAGTATTTCTACTTATTACGTATTAATTACACTTGAGGTCAACACATGATATGATGGTATTTTTGAAATAGTGTACTGTGTATACATTTACTATATAATTTAAAAAAGTAAGATACTTACAGACATTGATTAAAAGTGGTACAGCTTTGTAATCTTAATATTAGATAGATAAAATGCTTTGTAGTCATTTTACAACTATTGCATGGAATGGTTTAATTTCAATGCAAACTAAAAGGTACTTTAACATATTTAAACTATTAACCTATTTTGTAAAACTGTGTGAATCTACAGTATGTAAACATAATTTTCTGTTACTTTCTAGATTCCTTTACAGACAAAACAGTCCTTTCTTTTAAGACTTTTTTTTACTAATTTTAATGAAAGAATCAGTACCAGCAATTAATTTGCTCGTAACAAAGACCATTAAACACAAAAAATATATTTTAATTTAGTAGCTCATTTTATATTAATATCCTGTTAAGTGATATTTATATTAATATTAAAAGATATTATGTCAAATGGACTGGTAAACTACATTGTGTGAATGAGTAATTCAACAGAACCTTAGGAAAGCTGTGCTTTGAGAGAAAGCAAGACAATTAAGAAGTTAAACATTTCAGTGTCATTGCTCGATAGGGATACTGATCACTGTAGTTTTGCTGAAAAGCTCATTTGCCTATTTAAAAGGCATAATTATATTCTTAACATAATATGGTGCAAAATATAATTATGTACAATACATGGAATCAGGTGGAAGGAGACATCCAGTATAATATTTTTATTTCTGAGTCACTAGAATTAAAATGTTTAAAACACTGTACAGTATATACTGCAGTTTCATTTGTTGAATAGTGAATTTATACTGTATATTCAGAACGCTTTATATGTTTATATTGCAGTATTTAATAATAATGTGCAGTCAGTCTATGAATTTTACATACCTTAGTTGTTTGGAATATTTCCTTGAAAGTGTCCTTTACATTCATAGCCCTCATAAAAAGATTCAATCAACATCAGTCTTATCATATTTCTGGATAGACATACTCATGCCTAGAACTAGATAGCATACTTTGCATCGCTGACCACGTTGCTTATTTACATCTAGCCAGACCAGTTGTAAGTCAAGATAAAGCCGTCTCCTCCATTTGTGTTAAAGCAACTTTTTCCTTTGGAGGCTTGTAGAGGTATAATGCCACTGAGTTAAAAATAATAGTCATCGACTTGCACACTGCACCTAGACAAGAAAAGAAACTTCATTAGAATCACTACTAGGGGGCAGTATATTTACATGTTATTCCTTTTGAATAATGACCACACAAATTAAAATTAACCATAGATGTCTAAAACGTTTACAGTATTTCACAATATGTACTGATATGGACTCAAGTATGTATTGAAATAACATATTTAGGAGGTCTCTTTTTGCATTGATGAGCGAAGAAAAAGGTAGCGATTGCAAGTACAATTTTTTAAACGCTGCAGACCAATCTCATTCCTTTGGACCCACCAGACCTTTGGCACCACTTTCTAATTCTTCGTTGGCCCAGATGATCAGGCGACACTCTCTGCCATCCTGACTATCTCTACACTGTTTGTCCCTTGAGCCAGAAGAATCCAGAAGGAAACGTAATACCATACTGTATGTAAAAGCACACAAACCTTTTCAAGGAAAAAAAACGAATTCAGTTATTCCATGACTTATGAGAAGGATATCTACAATAACTCCAGTCACAGTGGGCAACAGGAGGACTTATGGCTTGATGTCCCACTAAGTGACCATTTAATTAAATGGTCAAAGTTATTTTGGAAAAATAAATCCAACCCTGAAATGGTTATATCTCTTGTTCATTGAGTGTGTCTTTCCAATGGCTAACTTTAAAAGACCTTGAAGCAAGTCAAATAATACGTGAACCAACAGCCCACTGGTTATGTGTGCAGAAAAATATCTACAGAATGTTAATATGGAATAAACCCAGAAAACTGATGGCCCTTTAAGAACTGTGCTCGACATCTTATAATATACCCTTGTTTCTCATAGCTATTACTGTATAAACTACAGTAAGAAGTGCAGGATCCTTGAGTCTATCAGATATGTGAAGTTACTTTAACCTTATGAGCTATTTTTTTTTTGCCAAAGACATGGGTTCATTTAGTGTGGGGAGTGTATAAAAAATTTATTTGTTATTGGTTAAATTACAAAAAACCACATTGTACCAAGCTATTCAGCCATCCATCAATTTTTTCACCACTTTATCCACTGAAAGGTCGCAGGGGACCTGGAGCCGATCCCGGCAAACAAGGGGCACAAGGTAGGATACACCTTGGATGGGACATCAGTCCATCACAGGGCACCAGGGCCACTTAACTCAAGGATACCCACGCGATCATGGGGAGGATATACAAAGTCCATGCATATACTGTAGGACTATACTACTCAGTGTAATAATGCTATATAGTGTGGTAATACTATAATAAAATACAGTATTACACAGGCAAGTACAAGTCTAACATTCTCTTCAGTGAAATGCTATTATTATTTTTGAGGAATTACATAGAAACTACTCACACATTAATGTAAAAGAATAAGCTATTTTGCTGTTGTCATAGATCCAGCATGCACCTTTAGTTCCACAAGAGTTTACATCCCATTGGGTACAAGAATAGTCCATGGCAGCACCTAAAATCACAGGTCCAGGGATTGTACCTACAGCATGGCATGATAAGAACATGTTATCAATCAAAAAAACAAAACACTAAATGACTAATTGCTGTTATTATTTTAAACAGTAATTACTTAAATGTGGCTGATAAATGGCTTCATAATCCCTTCATAACTACTTCACAAGACATTATAATCACATGCATAATGCTCTACTGTATAGGGACATGTACAAATGACATAATGTGTGCATCAGAGATCATGACATTTTAGCAGAATTTATAGCATTTGGTATCTTATGATAGGGTTAAATAGGGTTCATTACAAAAATATAGTGCATGAATATGATTATTGCAGAAATATGTTTTCAATAATTCTTTATCAAAAGCAGAATGCAATGTATACAGCAGATTTGCTTGAGTACATCAGTGTGATGATTTACAGTCGAAATGCTTTGAAAATTTGAATGAAAGAAATGAAATGTGCTGGACACAACATTTTCTTCCTCCCAAAAATCAAACTTTGAAATGGGCTGACTAGAAGTGCATAAAATAAAGTACTGGCAGTACTTCTTTCACGATGATCCTTTTTTATCATTTCATATGTCAGAAGAATTTTGAAAAAGTTGCAAAACTCAATGCATCTCAGAAACAGCGGCTTTCCACTTCCTGAGGCGTCACATACAATATTTACACAATAATCAGAACATCAGTAAACACCACATTTTTTATCATTTATAAATGTAATCTACTAGGAGGTAAAAAAAAACCTCCACTTGTTAGTGAAACTATTTTATGACCCCATGAACTTCATATTTTAAATTTATGTGCTTGGTTCTACCTGGCAAGCAGAGCAAATGCCGAGAATTTTCAATGGTATTATTTACTCAGTGATGCAATAGCTGTTGTGAAACATGAAGGGGTCATTGTTGCCTAGTAACAGGTGTGACCATCTTGTGAGAGAAAGAGGTCAATTTGTTTTACAGCAGCAGACAATACAGTATAAAGTATAAAGTATACAGTATAAAGGAAATCTACAAACAATACACATACAGTATACATGGACAAAAGACTGATAAAACGTGATAAACAACAAGTTATCAACCTTAAAATGTTTAAGCTTCCATAAGAAAACAGATTCTGTTGCCTCAATGTTTACCTCAAAATGTAACTTGCAGTCCAAAATAGTCACCAAATACTTGTCTATCTACCATCTACACTGATTGACCCCTGAAGAGTGGGGTTGTGAGGGTTCTTCCTGAAATCAATTCCTGAAATTCCTGAAATCAATTGCCATGTCTTTAGTCTCCGACACTTTCAACTTCAAAACCTTTTGTTCCCACCAAGTGGCAAACTTATCTACAACTGGTCCATAGCTCCACTCATGTTTTTGCAACAGCCTAATAACAGAACCATCTGCAAATGTAATAATGTGTCTTTAGTAGTGATGTCTGACAATCATTCGTGTACAGTACGAACAAAAAGCAACAGTGACAACCCTGGAGGGAACCTGTGGAAGAACACAGACAAAGCATTGCTGACTTTAACCCTCTGAGTCCTACAGTATCTGTAAGTAAGCTCATGCCTGACGATTATGAGGAACCAACCAACAAAGACACCTCACATATAGTTGTGAGAGATCTGTACAGTGAGGCTGTATGGATTGCAACAATTGTGGTTATGTTTTAGGGTGTTGATATAGTTTGTTAAGATTCTCCATTCAAAATCAATTAAATACTGGGATTTCTGTCTGTAGAGTATGACCACTGTTTGTTAGTTTCCTTAGATGACGAAATATGATGCATTTACTTCTGCATTTCAGACTCATAAAGGGACAGGATCTCTGGGCAAGAGCAAGAAAGGTAGCTATTATGAAAAAAAATCATACATTACTAAGAAATTGGAGTGGCTACTCTACAAACACGGGCCCCAGCTACTAATGACATGACAGAGGAAGTCTATGAATTAAAGAAAGAATTAGTGCCAGACTCACAATCCTAGATACTCTCCAGAAATTGTCCTGGAGTGCCCCAATCCATTTATTTTCAAAGGTCATCCTTAATCAAATTTGTATAATTTAGGAAATTCTTTAAGATATTGACCAATTAAGCACGTCAAGCAAAAATTATTTTAGTGCATAATTTAGTATTATCTAATTCTGGAGGTTCCACAGTGACATGGTTCCACAGTGGTTAGCATTGCCACCTTACGCTCCTGAGGTGCTGTCTGGGTTGACTTTGTATTGTCTCCCCATGTTTGTGTGGGTTTCCTCTCACAGTCTAAAGACATTCTGGTAGGTTAATGACTTTCTGGGAGAGCTGGCTCTGATGTACAGTAAGTGTGTGCTTGTCTGTGTCTATGTGTGTCCTGTGATGAACTGGCATCCCATTGAGGGTGTACCCTTCCTTGCACCTGTTGTTTGCCAGGATAAGCTCCAGCTCCCCTACAACATTGTATTGGAACTATTTTTGCAAATGGATGAATCGTTATGTTGGTTTAAGTTGTGTTTTTTCTGTACTTTTTACTCTTGTTTTTGTGCATTACATGGAGTTTCTTGAAAAGTACCCATCAACATTTCAAAATTTCAGTTATTATTTGTAGTGAACAGTACATACTCTTGCTGTATATGATAATTGAGGGAATTACAAAATTCCTGTAGAAATCTTTAGGTTACTTTTGTAATTTTAATTTTAAAAACTAACATGTGTTGTACTCACCACATATCCTCAAAAGGACTGACTGAATTCCCAGAGCAAAAGGACGCTGTGTTGGTGGCACACATCTAAATGTTCAAAATCAAACATTTTTATATCTTTTTTTATTACAAATTTTGATTTTATTACACATAATTTGACATTAACACTTTACAGACAGCTCAACAGAATTGATAATGTATCCATTTAAAAGGGAATGTGTTTGAATTAGCAATACAGTGTTAATTTATGTATAAAACAATTATTTGATTGTTGATTTATTGAAATTAAATTTGTATCTTGATGAGTTACCATTGAAGTGTCACCAAGAGGAACTATTTCTTTTAAAATTATTAATTATAAACTGATGATAAAATATAGGTGTATTAATACTCCTTTTTAGAACATTTTCTTTATTTCATTTTACTTAGATGGCACAGTGGTCAGCATTGCTGCCTTGCAGCACTGGAGCCCTGTGTTCAATTCCAGACCTGGGGTGCTATCTGTGTGGAGTTTGTATGTTCTCCCCATGTTCATGTGGGTTTCCTCCCACAGTCCAAAGACATGCTGGAAGGTCTTCTGGGAAAATTGGGATGTACGTGTGTGTCTGCCCTATGATGGGTTGGCATTCCAATCTAGGGTGTATCCCGCCTTGTGTTTGCTGCTTTACGACTCAGAATTGAACGAAGCAGCTAAAAACTGGATGGACAGATTTTTCTTGGGCTAAATGACAAAAGTTTCACAAGGGAATTTATTTAATGTCTATATTTAGTAATACTGTATAATACTGCATTGTAGATACCGTATGTATATATGTATGTATAATCTACCATAGGATATTGTACAAATCCCTGGTATTAGAGTCACTCTTCAAGTACATAGTAAACCATTTATTTGCTTAAAAAACAAGTGTTGTACCACTGTTTGCTCTATTTGTATCTGAATGTTATGTATTAGTACTTTCAAAGCAAGTTACATTTAGAGCCCCAGAAGACATGCAAAGCAAATAGAACAAAAACAAGACAATTAAGTAAATAACACAGTATTTATATTAAACATTAAGCAGGTGATAGACCATACCTCAAGGTAGCTGTAGTAATGGGAGTTGATCCAAAGAAGGTGAAAATAGCAAAAAGCAGGCTTAGTCCAATAAAAACAGGCTTGGAGCTGCACTTTGTTTCACACTTCCCTCCATATGCTTTGGCATAATTTTCAGAGATGGAAGTATTTGTAAATCCAATGCAAGTGCAGTTATAATAAACCTTATGGGAAAAGAAAAAAAAACATTGTAATTATGTTAATGGATTTTCTGATAAATAGCTGAAGAACAGGGGAAGGAAATTATTCTGTGTTGGATGAATTATGAATTTATCATTTAATACCAAATATATTTAGTCTAATACTGAGCATTAGCTTATTTGGTCTGTTTATATACTATACAGTCTGTACATGCCAAAATCATGGTATAATAGCATTAATATCTCTAAAATGTACAGAGGTCAGAAGGTTTTATTATTTAAGCATGTATTTACCAGCGATGAGAGATGAGAAAAATCATGCACTCTAAATAAGAATTGAAATTCATTCACAACTGGTACTCATACACAAGTGAAATTCCTTTCTGTATACAACAAGGTAAATTACCAAGTTAAGACTGTCACTGAGATGTTGTCTCTAAGGTAGTGCTGCTCAGACGTATTGTGTGTCCCAAAATGTGTACCCTATGATGTATTTTAGACACATTTGACAATGTATCAAATGTGAAGTAGTTGGATATAACCACTTCTGAAGTGTATAGTCCATACATTTAAAATTGAATACCCAGATTACATACTGTATGTTAAATATACTTGTTATTTCTGTGAGGGCAAAGAGGGGACAGTACATGGTTTAGATAAGGTGTTAAAAGACTACCGGACATTGTTGATCTGAAAGGCATGGATTCTATTAAAAAATAATTTTGAATAATTAGTTATTTTCAGTTTGTTCTCTGCCCTTTTAATTTGGACTCAACAATTGCGTATTTACAGTACTTCTTGTCACAATGACTAATCCTGCACAGGGAGAAATAATAAAAGCTCAAGGGCTCTTCCATCCCACACATCCATCCATTTTCTAACTGCTTCTTCCAATACAGGGGGGCCACAGGTGCAGGGCAGGACACACCCTGGATGGGTCACCAGTCTCTACAGGTGACGTTTTATTAGACTGACAGAGTACCTTGGAACTCCCTTGAAGAATTTCATTCTTACATCCTGCAAAGCATGCAGAGAAAAACTGCACCCCATTTTCTCCACAGACTGGACTGTAGTTAGAGTTCTCACATCCGCAGAGTGCATTACAAGAGGCTGTCAGGTTTCCTGTCTTTCCAGTGCTGAATAAGAATTGAAAGACATAAAAATAATTAATAATTATTTATTAACTTAATAAAGCAAACTCAATGATTTTTTTTTATCTTATGTGGAAAAAATGTTGTCTGACTGCTGCTAAAATTTTTGTATGGTGTGTATCCAAGGAAACACATTTAAAACCACCGTGTTCTTCTCAGTTTGTTGTGCAGATCTTTTTTTTCATATTTTTTCCTTTATTTTTGTTGATCCTACTTTATTACATTATGATAAAATAGAAGACATTATTAAGAATATTGTGAGGTTTGTCATTTCTTTGTTGCTTCATACATTTTTAAAGGAATGAAATAGGTATTTCTCAAACACAGTAAGGAGGTGTAAGGGGACAGTGGTGACTGCTCAAGGGTATTGTGTTTAACACAAAGACCTCTACACACAGGTTTTGCTGCAGGGCTTAGCAGATAAGAAGACTGGCACTGCTCTCAGAAATGCAAATTAAGTTATGCTAAGGGAAGCCGACATAGTAGAAGTTATCTAGAGCAGGAACTTTTTAATGGCACAAAAGGAACAAAGTGACAACCTTTTCAGTACATTTTGATACTAATATAATGCATGTTATATATTTTTTTCAGGGTTTAAATTTGGCCTATTTTATTACCTTTTGACAATGATCAATATTGCTGTGTCAATCAGCATATCAAGTGCTCACCTATCTTTTTGCATGGATACAGATATTTTCTCTTACACTGAGCTGTTATATATTAATGTCATGTGAACCACTTCAGATTTTAATCAATGGAAAATTACAATGGAATGAGAGACTGAGGACAGCTTTTAAGGGCTCGGATACATGTAGCATTTAACATTTATTTAAAAACACAATTGATTAACAAATGTGAGGACAACACATTTCCATCTTGTTTGTCTGCAAATAATGTATTAATCCAAGAACACTACCCAGGGTTTGTTCAGGAAACATAGTATTCTTCGGTGGTGTCTCAAGGGGAATGTTAGCATATATTGAATCCTTTTATGACACAGCGCTTTCATAAAGATGGAGAAGAATAAAACATTGCATGAGTTTTAGGATGGAATATCTACAAATATATGTTTATATGTAATAGGCATTAGTATCAGTATGTAATGTAAAACTTTTATATTGTAGCTGATCATTTTGCACAGCTCAAAAAGATTAGATGAGGTCTCAAACATTGTAGTTGTAATTATTATTATTCAAATTAATTAATAATTATTTTATATGTATTATTATTAGAAAACTTTTAAGAGATCTTTTCTGTGTCTCACAGGAATGAGGATTTAGGTAGGGTAGTATGTCAGTCTATTCACTCTCAGTTCAAGGCATGAAATCTAATTGGATATTTAATAGAAAATGTTGCATACTGGTCTGTAGCACTTTGTGTGGTGAATGCACATCGAGTTTTATTCTCACGTATTTTAATTAACCAACAATGTTTGATATTTTGTTTCAGAGAACCACAAATGCTTGTTTTACAAAGGGTTGTGGGAGTTTGGAACAAGCTATGTAGCCATTTTGTTGAGAATATTTGTTTCGAAACATATTTGGATAAGAACCTTATGTCAATTAGCTACTAGCAACCAAAACAAAAACTATTATTATTATTATTATTATTATTATTATTGACCTTATTATTACACTCTTTGTGTAAAAAAGTGCTTCCTATCTTGAAAAAGACTCCTTAATTTACAGTGTTTCATTAAAATCTACTTAAACGTTGTTGTTAGACATTCTATTTCAAGTTTAAATTGGAAGTGATTCCTTTGTCTATACTAATCACACCATGACCGTGACAGTGCATACACTGAAACCGAAAGAGAAAAATATTTCTGTGTTTTAACATTTTTACTTTCAAACTCTCAGTTTCCAATAGTATTCCCTGTTTTACTTCTCTGTCTCATCACTCTACACAAATGACATCAAACCCTTTCATGAAGATTCTGAAGATTTCCTTACCACTTTCACTATTCCTTCTGTCTAGGTACTTACTCATTATAACCAACTGAAATGCCACCAAACGCAGTGTTTGGGCATTCAGTGCTTATGAAAAGCACTGTCAGCAAGAGTGAAGCAATGGATGTGGCGACTGCAATGCGGATCATGCTTTTGCATTTCAGTTTAAAATGAGAAACCACCAGACCTCCCAGCAGTTGACCAACTGCAGCTCCAGGAATTAGCACACTTCCTGCAAAAGTTTTAAAAAAAGTATATTAATGAAGGAAGAAAGGACTGTCTTTTTTCTGAAGATCATATTTGAGCAAAATCTCTTATTCATTCATTCAGGAGGGTCTAGCCTGAGCAGTGTTGTATGATTAGAGATCACTCTTCTCTCAGTGCGGTTATTATGTATAAAGTATTCATTAGAGGATTCAGGGTATGATGCTGGGTGGAAGGTCTCTCCATGAATGTGTGAATGTGAGTGGAATATCTAAAGAAATCCAGTATATGTTTGTGTATATCCTTGCTGAAAGCAGGTTTGGCCAGTAGACTTGATTCATGCCAAGAAAATCTCTTTCCCATACCAGAAAGGGAAAAATCCTCTGGGCTCCTACCAAAATGCCACGACAGAAGTCATTTCAATTTCCCAAAGAAAGTTTTTAATTTTTGGTAGTTTATACCAAAGTCTGATTAATACACAGAGGCAGCTTTAAAGTCTCCTTGGAGAATTAAAAGTTGAAAAACTGGCACTGTTACTACAAAATAGTTATTGCGACATTTAGAAAAATACCTGCAGGATTTAAAATGCTTACGGCCGTTATGTTCTTGATTTCAAGGCAAATGTTTATTTCTTGGCTTAGTTTTCAGGGGTTAAAGAAATCAAAAAAAGTTCAATGGATGCTTTAAGTGCCCATCTTCTGCCTTTTAGTACCATACTGCAGTTGTACGAATGTGGTCCTCCAAATGAACCCTTTTTACTGAGCCGGCATCTATGAAGTAAAAGTCTGCCAAGTAAAAGATTATTTTTTGCCTACATTTCTAATTACTTGAAACTAGAAGAAAAGCAATGAGGCCTTCAAAGTCTTTCCCCCAAGAGCTGTCTGTGCAGTATCAGGATGAAAGTAGTGGTGTTGCAGAGCTTACATAAGTAATTACACTGTAGGGACAAGTGTAGTTTCTGTTATGGAAATCAGAGCAAGCCTCCTGATGTGCCACACATGTGCACGATACCATTTCAATGTTTTTGAAGCTGTCACTAGCAAATGCAAGAGTTGTAATAAGTTGCATAAGCAGAGGGAGACTTTAACTTCAGATTAAAGTTCCTTCTCCTGCACTCTTTCTTTTGAAAAAAAAAACCCAAAAGAAACTGCGCATACTAAGGAGTATGGAGAGAGATGTATCTTCCAAATACACTGTCTGGAAGGTTAATTATGAGTGCATTTACTTAAGACACAATTATTGAGTCTGGTTAGCTGAAATTTGTTAAAACCCGCAGTACATGAACAATTCTAGCAGAAATCAAAATCTGTTTTCTGGTACAGAATATTTTTGTTGAGGTAATTAACAATAATATATTTAATTGAAAAAAGAGGGCATTTTATATCTTCTATTATTCATCAATTACCTATTGATTGATGTTCTACAGATATTAATAAAACATATTTAGATGCTGTGGTCACACTATATACTGTATAGTTGTGCTCATACTAACCCTAGGACTATACCAACCCATTTTATATAACTGCTGAATATCAATGGATAACTTATTAACATTAGCTAATGTTTCGCAATGTTTTTATTTTAATAATCAGACTTCAGCAACTTTGGATTAATCACCTTTATTTAGAAAAACATAAGTGTGTTCATACATACTGTATATGAAATTGCCCATCATAGATATTGCAATGTACAGTATATAATGACTGTGTTCTTTGTTTTTGTTTCTATTGTTAAGATGGATTATTAGTCATAAGTGGGGCCTATTGCACCAAAATGTGCTCCAGCTTGGAAGCTAACATTTCATTTGATATGAAGATGTAGTCTAAAATTTAAAACAAATATAAGCATACAAAACATACTTTATCCAGTAGGAGGATTCCTCTCACAGCAGAAGAATTTATTAAATCACATTTGTAAAACTTTATTTTCCAACAATACAGGCAGTGTACAACTGCACTATGTAGCCCTTCTTAATTTGACGGTGAGGAGCTTTCAATGAAGATCTAAGGGCAACCATTTTTCTCTGTGCTTTCGTGCAGCAATTACTTATTTGATTGAGGGCACTGACCTTATCATTAAGGCCTTGGCATGAGGTTATGATCTCTATATAAAAAAGGTCTAGTTCCATTGCTGCAGTGTGTATGTGAGTATGCTCAATATATACCCCTCCACATAAAAAAGTAACACGGTGGGAATGTTTTATTTCAACTACTGTTCGCAGATTTATATGCCATACCACAGTTCGAAAAAATAATATTTCTATTGCTTTATCAAAAAAAAAACAACCCAAATGTAACTTTCTCTGAGATCAGTCTGGTAAGCTCAAATAGAATGAAATGATTGTGATATCTGATTGAAGCAATATATATGTTGTGCCCTTTCAGCAGATGAATACTGTGATCTGATCTCTTTGTGATTGCAAAGACGCATTAACGGTCTGGTAGTACCAAAACAAGTACAATTTCACTACTGGCTTAAGCACTGAAGGACGATGGAAAAACTAAGCAAGATTTGAAAACACAAAAAATATTTTTCAGGTAACAAGTATCAAATAGTTACTGCTTTTACTCCTTTTATTCATTACAGAACCTAATGATAGTACTTCATTGAAAGCCTAATTGTAGATTATTCCCTGTTGCTGGAAAGCATTTCTTGTTGGGAAAGATATTTTAAAAGCACCAAGTTTGTCTTATCAGCTTCTCGGAATTCTTTGATCTCTCACCTTATCTCAATAGATTGACAGTGTTTATTACACATCCTGGTTTTTCCATAATGGCATAAGAGAGATGAGGCCATGTCAGTGGAATCCTTATTCACGAGTTTAGAGAACTGCACTATTGGTTGGCCCTTGTGCTACAGTTTTTATTCTGTTACTCCTGAACCATCTCTGTTTTCCATGGTCTTACAATTAATTTGCAATCATTCTTGAATTGAATCTCCTTTTCAAATTTAGCTTCTCTCACCATCAGCTCAATCAAATGGTTCTGATTCCGTTTGGTTAATTCAGCTGAGTTTAGCCTAGAGCTGGGTTCCATGTAATGCTGAAGGAGGATGATTAACAGCAAGTTGGATTAGCTCAGGGAGATGTCATTGGCCTTTCTTCAGTCCTCATATTTCCCCTTTTCTGCTTCAAGCTAAACTTGTCCGTCTTGCCAATTCTAAAGGTAAGCCCTGATTACCCAGATGTCAACACAAAGTTTTTTTTTAAGTGAGTGGCCCTGTCCAATGCAAAAACGTATCATAAGAATTGACTAAATGACACAATAAGTGTGGGCCAAGTAAAAGTGTGTTTTTACTATTCATTAGGAAGAAAAAAATCTTAGTACGCACTGCACATTATCTATTCTGCGCAGTAAATCTATGCTATTACCTTTTAGAAAGTTATTTCAGAAACATTAATTGGAATAACAATTAAGAACATAGATCCATTAATTGTTACTAACATAGTCTGGACGGGTAGAAGCTTCTATTCACTTATCAAATAATATTGTAACCCAAAATTGATTTCTTTCATGGTAAAACTAATCCATTACATTTATCTTTTATTCTGGGCATGGGTAATTCCAGCGGGATCACTGCAATTTTCAGGAAAGGTGCAATGGGAATCCAAATAACACATTCACTGTTACAGCATATTAGGTGTAAAAATAACTGGTAAATTAAACTTTGAAAACAGATCTTTTGCACAGAATTGTCCATTGAACCATGTCTGTAGCATGCAATTCTATCAATGCCATATTGTACCTTTACAAACCGGCAAGAGCTCTGGGAGTTCACATCTTGACACGCAAAGTGTAACAATAGTGACTCAGTCAGGTGATTCAAAGTAACTAGGCTAGTGCAGGTGCTGTCTGGAGCATTTAGTGTCGTTCGACTTTCAGCCTTCAGGTCTGGGTCCAGACTGAATGAAAGCTTTTCTCTTGATTTTAGTGTAGACCTCAATGAGCATTCGATTATTTCATATGCAATATGCATAATTTGCATAATTTGACACTATTGGGGGCAGATTGTAAGAAAAGAAGGAAAGGTCTGATGATAATTAAGATTAATGTATCTTTTTAAGTCCCCATTTTCAACCTACAGTACAGGTGGGTCATGCTAGATTGGTCATTTAGAAACCATATGATGTGATATCTGTTAATACTGTATGTAGTGCTGTACAATATTTTGTGTGGAATTTCACTTTCAGTTCTATAGATGTTTTTGTGAGCAGTAACAAAATGCATATGATACTTTACCTCCAAGCATAGCTGCAGAGCTTGATGTTGTTCCATACTGATTCTCAATATATTTAGGCATAAATGTTGCCAGTCCAGTCATAAGAAACCCCTCCATACTGATCGTTATACTTAAACACATGAACACAGGATTCTTCAACAGGAGCTAAAACAAATAGAAACAAAAATAGCATGATTCAACAAACGTTTATAATATACCAGGTGCGTTTACATGCACAGAATTCTTACATACACATTCTTACATGTTGACGTAGAGCAGAATAATGTTGGTCTTTTGACGCTTACCCCTAATGCCAAAGGAAAATCTTTGAATGTTTTGCCAAGATTCTTTTTTACTGCTATGTTCTCACTCCCATCCTGATGAGCCTGAGAAACCTTCTCTCTCTGAATTCTTGCAGTTCCTATCCAAACACAAATAATGCTTATAAATAACCACAGTGTATAAATTAACAACAATTCATTGTAAAACTACTAAGAGAGTATCCATACCACCCACACAGATTATGGCATAACTGGGGGCAATATGCCATAATGGGATCTTAAAAATGTGAGTCTCAGGGAAAACAAATATATAGACACATCTGCAAAGAACAGTACATAAACTGCGGCCTTTTATTTACACTACAGGGAAAATGATAGTCAAAACTATAAACAAAAAAAAGTTATTTTTTTAACTCTGAATGCACTTCTTCCAACCCTCTCCTAAAACAAGAAATCTCCCCCTAACTCTCTTCTAATGATTCAGTCAGTGTCCCTGGGCTCATTGGTTGTTGGCTTTCTTCTTTTCTTCATTCTCCATTGGTACAGGCATATAAAAAGGATCTGCTTTCTTTCTCAGAGATCATGGCCCACCCGGAAGCTCCCACATTCCGTTTTTAACCGTCACCTGACCAGCTGCCTTCCTCTTATTGGTCAGAAGACTGAGGATGGCGGTTCATCTTGTTTCCACCTACTGAACTGCCCTCTTCCAAAACCATAAATAGTTCTAGGTCCTATTGTTAAACAATTCGCTTAGAAACACATCAGATTAAGTAACGGAATAGCAAGCAAAGGATGGTGGAGACAAGATCGTGGTTCCGGTATAAATCCATTCCCCAAAAAGCTGTGAGGAATGCCATCCTCAGTCACCTGAGCAATGAGAGGAAGACAGTCTGTAAGTATATTACTGTGTATAGATATATCTCTATAGGCTCTCTTCTTCTCAATTTCCTACAAGGAAGTATTTACAATATGTGTGCAGGAAGCCCAGTTATCATAAATTACTTTTACAGTTTATAGAAAAACAAGTAGGACTGATCTCCGGCTGGTACTACAGTAGTTCCATTAATATCTGAGAATTGGAAATTGTTAATTTTGGAAAATGAAATACTAGGATAGTTTATTTATCTTGTCATAAAATAAACTTTGGTTAGAAAAAAAATGCTTTAATGCTAAACCTTATTGAATTTATGTTGTGCTTGAAAAATACACTATATATGTTCTTTGCCTCACCTGTAATTAAAAACATTCAAGTGGCTGGAAAATTTAAATTAACTGTGACATCTTTCTTTCTTATATTTTAAACATCTCAAACATAGATTTATACAAATACATAGGAATAGAATGATTTTACCTGGTAGATGTTTAGGAAATCCCAAAAAAGGAAAAACTAGGAGCCAGGATATAGGCCAGGATAGCAAAAATGGAATCCACCAAGCACCTAGCCAGCGGGGATCTTCAGGGGTAAGGTCAACACTAAAAATATGTATAGGCTAAAGCTTACACAATCTTATTTTTATACATATTCTAGTGTTAAATAATGACTGTTTTATTTTTCCACAATGTTCAACTTGGCAGTTTATTCAATTTCTGTAGTTAATTACTGATCAAATATTCATTAACATATGATTCATAATTTAGTTAACTTCACTGCTGATATTAAAAAGTCCTTCAAGATCAAGACAGAAGGAACTTTAAAAATGAGTTTAATTCTTCAATAGATGAAACATCATTTTACCAAAGAGAAAAGAGAAATGATTGATGGGTAGAAACACTTTACACGATAACTTACTTTTGTATTTTATTCACATCAATGTAGATATTCAGGAACTGACCTCCTATAATATAGCCTATAGCAGGACCCAGGACCGCAGTGCCATAGGCTATCCCTTAAAAGGAAATAACAATCAAACATTAACTGAGCATTTTACATTCCCAATTAAAGCAAATTAAATATTTACTTTAAACATAAATCATTTAGAAGGTCCTCTAAGGACCATAGAGGTTTATACAGTATGTGGAATCTAGTACAATAGTAGTAGGAGCAGTATAATAGTAGAAGTACAGAAATAATTCACATTAAACATGTTAGTGACAAAAACTGTAGATATTGTAAAAATATATACATGTAACTCAGGAGCATGTTATGACAGAGGTCCCTTTTTTAGGGTAAAATTCTGATGGCAAGGCCAATTCACTTCTCAAAGGTAGGCACAGTATTCTGGTTTTATTTCTAAATTATTGCCTCAAATGCACATATTTAATATTTTTCAAGGCAAAAGACACTTTTTTTATTTTACTATACATTAACTTCGACATGTTTTTGAGTATAGCGATACATTACACCATTATTGAAGGCAAGGCTTGTAGATCCTACAGGGATCTGCATTTTATGTCTGTGCCATAGAATTTGTATACTGTATGAGCCCTGTTTTGTTTTCAACTCAAAAGATTGGTTAGTTACCAATGTAAAGTGAGGACTTTTCTGACGGAACACTGTCATCAATGTAAGCAGTTCCCAGTGTGTATATAGCCGTTCCTCCAATTCCCATAAGCAGCTGACCCAATAGAAAGACATACAGATAGTTGTAGAGTGGTGACAGTTCAGAAGTACAGCCCTTCTCACTCCTGTTGCTTACAGGGTCTGGACATGTATCTTAAAAAAATAAAACAATGAATCAGCTGTTGGTTAAAAGTTTCATCTGATGATTTCACAGTCAAGTTACATAAAAAAGGTTTTGTTAAAACTATAATTCCCACTGTACATCGAAAAATGCAGATAATACTCTTAACAAACAACTTTCTAATGGACCAGTTTCCATGTACTAAAACACAAAATGTCATGATTTCTATAGAAATTCAGAAATTTAAAGAGAGAAAATTAATGTACTGCCTGAGTTTAGGTCTAAGGTCAGGAAAACATAAAATGTCATGAAGTGTAATAGCAGATCATTTTCTTTTGTATCTCACTAGTGAAATTGATTCTATTCCATTTATAAATACATCAATTACAACATTCATGTATCAATAAGACAAAAATATAATAGGTGATCATCCAAGGCAGACATTGCTTAAAATAACTTTCACATGCTCAGTCACTAAAAACAGTACAACCACCAATATAAGGGAACAATAATAACCGTATAAGGGAGAGACAAGAACCTTGTTTATGGTTAATAATTAAAATACTTTTCTGGGGGTGAACTTTGAGATTAAATCACACACAATTTGCAATTTTAAATGGAGGCCATTTTCTTTACAAAGGGAATCTCACCTTTTATTTTTGAACCAAACCTATATAAACCACAATTATAATGTGGCAGGGAAAATACGAATGCTCCAAGTCCCATCATAAAGGCAGAGAAAGCCATCCAATGTGGTTTGTGACCTCTTGCTCCATAAAACGACACAAATAAACATAAAATAGCAAGGGCAATGTCGTAGGTTGAGGCAATTACTCCTGTCAGTGTGCTACTCAACTCATAGCGCTTTTCAATTGTAGATATGCTGATATTTACCAAGCCATTAACCAAAAAACCTGTTGAAACACAGAGAACTTTGTTTAGCTTATTTGTGTTTTAAACTGCTTAGACACTTAGATATATTGATAATCACAGATTTAACCGATATATAAGATCACTTTATTGGCCATATACAATTTCTTGTATCAGGAATTTGTCTTTTCACATACTGTACCCCAATTTGCTCTCCATGAGACACACAGACACAGAGACAGGGAGAGAAGCTTGGGGTCAGAGTGCAGGATCAGCCATTTATATGGCGCCATTGGAGCAGTTGGGGTTAAGGGCCTTGCTCAGGGGCCCAAAGGGGTCTGCTGGCCGTGGGATACGAACCGGCAACCTTCCAGCCACAGGTGCAGATCCTTCATTCCCCACATAAAAAGTGGAATGAAACTGTTCTAAACGGTTCTATAAATATTGTTGAGCTTGTTGCACGCTGGGTGTTGAAGCATATTCAAAACATATTAATAAGTCATGCAAATACATGTGGGAAAACACGCTATCTAACTTTGCAGATAATTATGCACCATATTGTTTGTCCTTCACTATCTCAGCAGTTTCTTGTTTGATTCAAGTATAAAAGTCAGCACCAAACACCAAATCCTTTATTTTCTGTGTATTCACATCCCATTCTTGCCATCTGCTTTGTCTGGCAGCCTTACTTCTAATGCGGAAGCATCTCCTTATCAGTACATATACAGTACACCATGAATTTCACTCTTGCATTCCAATGAGGCACCATAATGATGGAAATATCACTTTTCTTTATAACCTTGAACATATCAGTACATTTATAAATAACGTGCATAGCTTTGCAGTAAGTCTTTATGGTTCTAAGCTTCTGTGGTACGGTGATAACAATAAGAACATCATACTGTTGCGAATAGGACATAATTAAATGGTTGTAACACTGGTTGTAAACGTCTGCTACCTTCAAACAAATCACTGAGTCTTCTGTTAAATCTTTGGTACAGAATGTGAAGTGAAGACATCATGGTATCCTCTGTAAATGTATTTTATTGACACACAGTAATGCAACCAACGGCCATTGTATTGTATATGATAGTGTATTTTCTGTGTTTGTGCTATAAAAAGATATTCTTAAAAAGTCACAATTATAAAAGAAGAATTGTATTTTTTTTCTATTTAATTTACTAATTTTAAGCTTCAAGATATAAAGTGTTAATAACATAGTATTTAACAGATGTTTTGTGTTTTTACACAAAACAGCTATCTCTCAATGTTTTATGTTCTGACTTTCTTCAAATCTAGAAATACTAGCAAAAGGTAAAAAAAATAATTATAAGGTAATTCTTACATCATAATAACAACAATAAGGCCAGGGGGCTGGTTCAGTATTTGAAGTTTAATATCTTCTGGGCTATGTGAACGAGAGATAAAGATAGTCGTCAGAAAATGGATTACTACAACAATAACACTTAAAAGTCCTAATAGTAATAGGTCCTAATAGGTTTATTAATAGTACTGGGACTGAATTGATCTGTTCTTAGCACCTTTGGGTGGTCATGTCATCTGGATGTCAGACTCCAGGCTTCAAAAGAAGGCTGTCTTCTCCCAGCTAAGCCAAGGCAATTCCACCAGAGGAGGCCAGAAGAAGCATTTCAAAGATTTAGTAAAAGCAAACCTGAAGAAATGCAACAGCTATATCACCCAGCATTTTAAGTAGATATCAGAAGGAGGAAACAAAGCAACAGCGTCAAAGATGTCCTGCTCACTATAACCAGTGTACACTGTATATAACCTGATATCTCCAGAGAGAATATCTCTTCAACCTGTCAAAGAGTGTGCAGAACCCACATTGGCCTTATCATTCACCTTTGCACTGAATTGTGAGGGATAGCCAATAAATGCTTATTCTACTTGCAATAAAGCACTAGAATGATATGGTATTAAACTTGCATTTCTGATAATTATGGTACAGCTATGGTACACTAAGAAAAATATGTGAAGATGTTGTATTACATGTAGAGAGCGCTCTTTCAAAGAATGCCCTTAACTCTCCGAAAGCAACTTGGCAAAACTTAAAATGTAGATCAACAGAAGTACTGTGATGAAATAGACAAGCACGATTAATAATAGAAATAAGTGGATTGAACTATCAAGTGCAGTGACAACTGCAGAATGAAACCAAAGTTTCTTCTGTAAACATTAGCTATCAGTGAAATATTCTTACCTTGAACAACTGCTAACAGACAATAAAAGACTAGGAATCCTTTGGGGTTGTTGCAGCACTGTAAATAATGTGGAGTAAAGCCACCCCACGAACAAGGACCTTCTGTAGGTTCCTCTTCAAATTCTTCCCTCGGCTCTTCTGGTTTGTGCAGCTCTTCACTGTTGATAAAGGCTGGATTTTCTATACCTTTGCTCATTTTTATAATAGCTCAATGTTCCAGAAAATGCTGCCCTCTCACACAAGTTAACACATATGCACCTTTTGGTGCCTTTCTTCTGAAATACTGCTTTACAAAGTGAAAATAAATGTCGTCCCTAGGGTGGAAGCTGGTGTATTGTGGTACAATACTTCTGCAAACCATAGATTTGCATGTGTAACCTGCCTCCTGACTGTTTAGAGCTAAGCTCCTCCTTCTAAAATAGTTTGCCATTCTCAGTCTTCATAGTAGGCTTGGACTGCTTGTGCAATGTACAGTACTGCAGTTTGCAGTTCCATAGTTTCTGAGCTCAGTTTCACATTTCTTTAATCTCCAGCTGGACTGTGCAGCAACTATCGAGACAGGGCACCTAAATGGGGACCTGAAACTGAATCTGTACTATGTCATGAAAAGATACCATTGTACACCACCCACACCATTGTTTAATAACTTCCCCGAGAGCAATGTATTCTTGTACTACAAACATTTCAGTCACCAGCTATGATTCTAAAAACGTAAAACAATTACTTTTCACACCTGCACAAATGCCCTCTATGGGCATATCATGGGTCAGATTTCATACAAAACTTTCTTTAGTAAAAAATAAAAATCAGAAATACTCTAAGAGCTATAGATGCAAAGGAATCAATATTGTAGAAAACTCATATATCTAAGTCAGTTTCATAAGGTCTACTACTGTGCCTGATGCATTTCAAAGGGTTTGTTTTGCAAACCACATTTGAAATATAAATTGATGGATGAGTTGAAATTTACAAATTAAACAGGGCAGTCTCTGAAGCTGTTTGTACCTGCTTTTAATTGCAATTTTCACAAATTTAGACTTAATAATACTAATAATAATACCAATACTATCAATAGCCTAATTTAAATAACTGTAACTAATTCAATACCATGCTTGATAGATTAAACTCTGGTAGAGATTTTGAAATCGCTTTTAAAGTATATAGTAAACAGTGCAAATTTGCTTGGTTTGCTCATGATAAATCACATCCCACAAATTCCTGACTTGGCAAATAAGGGATAGGCTTATTGAACTGTATTACTCCTTGTGTCACACTGTCATGACTAGAGACAAAACAGTTCAAGGTTTTTTTATCTGGACTCCTTAAGGCATTCTGTTATATTTAAAGATAAGCTTTAGGCTAAGCCCTTTTTTTTTGTTTGGAACTGAACAGTTTTCTCTCCTGAATGCAGATATGCAGAACAAACTATAGGAAGCTGCCAGTGAGAGGTTGTGGGCATGTGACTTGGAGTTGGTCCACAGCTCCTTCTCAAAACTTACTGTAAGTCAGCATGCCTTTCACAAAGGTTGGCACTTGTTCAGCTATAGAAAAAACTGTATTCAGTACAGGATGGTACTGAATGGTTTAAACTTGGATTGAAAGAAGACAAAACAGCTTCATATTGCACCCACTATTCATTTTGCTGTTGGATTTTTAATTGCTCTATTTCCACATGATTAAATGTTATATTATTTTACTTCATTCATCTATTTTCCGTCTGCTTTTTTCTGTCCAGGGTCACAAGGCAGGCTACAACCTGGATCGGATACCAGTCCATCACAAGGTAGACAGATGCAAATACAGACAGACAAATGCTCACAGAAGCCAGTTAACTTACTAGCATATCTTTGGACTGTTGAAGGAAACTGGAAACATTAAAAATCAAATGATACCACATAGAAACATTTTTTTAAAATATATTTTTAAAACATACATAGTGTGAATGAAATTATATTGAAGTCAATACCCCCTCAGTCCAAGTTTAATTTGTTTTTATTATCCTAGTGAAATAAAATGAATGATAGATGTCCTCTTAAACAGTTCTGGCTTTTCAAAAGTCATAGTACTATAAAACAAGTTAAAAAAATAGAAGTATAAAATTGTCTTACTTTGCCAACTTATAGTTCTTATTGGTTGTGGCAGGTTTTGAAATTATTGTTTCCAAATTTGATCAGAGTACACTTGAGAATACATACTAAAGGAAGAATAGTGATAACAGAAGATTTAGTTTAGCCGCAGTAATACCATAAAAGAGTGAAGCTATCAATTCAGCATGACAGTTCTTCTGCCTTTTTTGATAACATTGTAGTGGGAATATTGTCCATCCTCAAGCTGGACCATCAGCAGAGCCACCTTCCAGACAAGAAAACTGCCCTTAAGAAAATATGCTGTAGGATTCCTTCAGAAAATCCCTAATACAGGTATTTTGAAGGAGTCCTCCAGGAATTATAATACTCTCGCGTGGGTTCTATACACACACATTATACCTGCACACATTGTTTTGACACAATTGTATTCTAGCACTCTATTCAGAGTGGAAAGTAAAGCTTCCACAGGAAATAAACTTAACACACCCTCAGGAACTGGATCCTAGGAGTCCAGCAGGAACAGAAGCCCTGAAGTCCCACAGGAATGGAAACTCTGCACTCATGCAAGAATTTAGAGTTCCACATGGATTGAAACTCAATAGATCTCTTGGACCTGTTCTCTCTTAATGTGAATCTTGGGATTCTTGATGCTGCAAGATATTTTAGAAAAAATAATCATAGTAAATGTTTGTAAGGGCATGTGTATAAATGGACAAGAAAATGAAACATACAGTACCTTTCTCTTACAAACAAGGTACACTACCAAAATGTTATATGAGTCAAGTGGCATGGTTTGGGGGCAAAATATCTATATTTAGTTTTTTATCAATGTATAAATTCATAAAGGCAGCACAATGCCACAGTGTTTAGCACTGCTGCCTCGCAGCTCTGGGGAACTTGTTCAATTCCTCGGGTGCTGTCTGTGTGAAGTTTGTTTTTTCTATGAGTGTTTATATGGGCTTCCTCCCACAGTCAAGCTGGTTAACTGACGTCTGTAAAAACTGGCCCAGGTGCGAGCGTGTGCATGTTTGTGCTGTGTTTGTTTTATGTGACATACTGGCATCCCTTCCAGGATGTATCCCACCTTGCAGCCAATGCATCGTGGAATAGACTCCAGGCCACCTTGTCCCTGACATTGAAGTTGATGTGATGATGGTGTGGGAATATTGTATATTATATACAGAATGATCTTGTAAGCATTTGGTTTTTCAATGCTTGTTGCAATTTCCCCTTCTATAAAAGCTACATTATTCAATTCCTGATGCCTTACACATTAAATTATAACTTTTTTCATAGCACACATGATTGCTACAGTACGAACATGATTATTGACAATGAAAATGGTTATATGGTTGAAGTACTTGGGGAACTCACGAGTGGTGAACAGTTGTGGGTTCCTAGCTTTTCCAAATAACCACTAAGGCAAAGACTGAGTACATTATGTTAGATTACTCAAGCAAGCCTACTTCACTGAAAGAAAAGAGAAGGCACCAACCACAGGGGTTGCTCCCTGCTCCCAAGGATAAGGACTAAGCATAAAATTACTGCTCCCAATAGGCCAGTCAAGAGTGTGATGTCCTATGCTGCCCCTAATCTAGAGCCAAAACAACCTTTCCTCACCTCTTGCACAAGAGCAGCCAAGCAATCCAAGGTTTGTTTGCTGGTGTTTTCTTTCATGTTACCAGAGTTATATAAGTAACCTAACATTCCCATTCACTCAAGAGTAACCACAAACCAATGGGATGGTATGTTAACTTTCTCAGTTGGTTGGGCTGAAAGATAATATTGAGGTGACTCAGATGATAGAATATCAGGGTTAGAATGCCATGCAGTTCACAGTTCACAATCAAATTTGGGTGGTATAAACTCTAAAAGATGTGCATAGTAGAACATCTAACAACTGCACATCTATGGCTACTGCTACTGATGTCACTGTGAGTCATGACAAAAAAAATGTCAAGTCCAGATTAGATAGGTTACAATGAAAAATATGATTACTGTAAAAAAAAACAAACTCCTTCTTTTGCATGTTATTGTTGTTGTTTTCTAGATCCACACACTATAATACATCATCACTACTGACGTTCTCACTCTCTTCCTTGCAGGGTATTCCTCTCACAATCCTCTCCGCGATTGTCGTTCTTCCCCCCCCTCACAGGGTTTACTGTAGCGGCTAGTCAGCCTTTGTTCACTCTTACACAGTGGCATGTTTTTCTTACATGGCCCTGACTAGTAGCGTCTCACACCTGCTACTGTCAGGCTTCAGCCTGGCTCTCTCACAGCAGAGCCTCCAAATTCGGAAGAGCTAGTCTCCCATGTCCCTTCACCACTGGAGCCACAGCAAGACTAAAATCCTGTTGCAACTTTCCCCTTCCAGGAATTATTCAGGCTGGTTTTAAACCACTCCCACACCTGCTGTTCATTCCACATATTCACATCAACCTCCCCCTCCAACACACCAAACACTCCCTGCATTACACCACAATGTGAAAAATATATATTTTACTTTACCAAGTTCAACATTTACAACTACGGAAGTGCATTGCTGCCACCAAGGAAAAAACATCTCTTTATTATGAGCTATTAATTCTCGCGTACTTTATGTGATCACGAGATTGCACAATTGTCATATAATACCTACTGCATATCGATACTTTAGGACTTAAAATTTTAAGCAGTGGAACTGCTGTTCATAACGGAACCATCATTGCTTTGATCTCTAAATCCCACAAAAGTGGTCCTTATGCTTATAATGATTCTGTTCGTATTTGCTAAAAATTACAAGATTTCATTATGACTAAACCCTAGGCAAAAGTTAATCAGTTCAAGTTCTGCAGCACTGGACATTGACAAGAATCATTAAACGATCATTAACTGAAAGTGCCAGCCAAGTTCATGGTAGTTTCTAGATGCGTTCAGTGCACAACGTAACAGGTTGTACATAAACTGAAGTAATCATTGCTATCTCGTAAATACAAAATACTTTTCTCATAATTACGAGATAAAGGGGGCAGGGTTTTTTTTCTTGGTGGCAGCAATGCACTTCCGTATACAACTGCTTTTCCAGCTACTGTAGGTCATGAGCAAGGTCTCTACTGCTCTGTAATTTTTCTAAACATTATCAATTTAAAAAAACGTTTGTTTCCAGCTGAAACATTAGTCAGCTGCAATTTTTTTGCATGGAGTGCTTTAATTTTCTGTTCTCTTATTACATAATTCTTTTTCAGATGTGTGGAACAAGTGTGGTCACAGCATTCA